TACATATACATATATATATATATATATATATATATATATATATATATATATAATATATATATATATATATATATATACATATATATATGCATATATATACACATCATTCTATCTATCTATCTATCTATCTCTATCTCTCTCTCTCTCTCCTCTCTCTCTCTCTTCTCTCTCTCTCTCTCTCTCTCTCTCTCTTCTCTCTTATATATATATATATATATATATAATATATTATTATATATATATATATTATATATACACACACATACACATACATATTAATTTATATATATATATATATATATATATATATATATTATATATATATTATATATATATATTATATATATATATATATATGATTTGTTTTTGGAATTTTAATTTGGAATTTGTTTTTCTTAAGTGTTTTACTGTTAATATAATTGTTTCTACTCCTACTGGTTGCGGTCTGAAAAAGTTTGTTTTAGGCCTTGTTTCACTTATGTTGCGTAGATGTGGGGGCGTTGTCTGTTCGTAAGTGAGCCTACCGACTTCTGCAAAGAAGTTATTAAAGTGTTCTATATCATTTATGGAATTTGTGGAAATGTCTGTGTTTTGTTTCTTATTTGGCACTAGTCTTAACCAGTTTCCATGTTTCGGCAGAATCGTTTCTGCATTCATTGATCTTACTTTTGAAATAATTTGTTTTCGCACTATGAATAAGTGTTTTCACATTCCTTTTTTTGTTTATATTCAGCCTGAAGGGTGGTGTCAGATCTGTTTATCTTGAGAGCTTTCTGAGTATTATTTCTATCATTTATGGCTCTCTTGATGTTGTCATCTATCCAGGGGGCGGGAGGACGTTTTACTGTTTTAGTTTTAATGGGTGCGGAGGCGTTTATGCTATTCTTTATCACTTCTGTTAAAGTGGCAATTTGTCTGTCAACATTATCTGTTGCTAAAATATCTAATAGCGATGATTCGTTAGCTATATGTTCGCAGAGTGATTTAGGATCGTAATGGGTTAGATCACGAGAAGTTTTGGTGACTGGTTGTCGCTTTGGTTTTTCTATATTTAAGATCAAGGTTAAAAGCTCGTGATCTGCAATTGGGCATGGGATAACATCTGTGTGAAGAATAATATCGGGACTGTTTGTTATTATGACATCTAATATAGAAGAGGTAGTTACTTGTAGGCTTGTTTACAAGTTGTTTTAATTTATTTTTATTATTATCCCAGTTAGTTTTGCATTTGTTTTGTTTAGATCGTCATTTAAGTCACCTAGGATGAATAGGGGTTTTCTTTTTAATGACATTTCTCTGAAAATATTTTCAAGATACTCAAAAGATTCTGCTGTAGCATGTGGGTGTCTATAGATTGTGCCGACGAGGATGGAAGGATGCATATTACTTTGTACGGTTACCCAGATGTCCTCTACTGCTGTATCATTTACAGCTGTAGAGGAATCTTATTTGATTTAAGGGTATCTCTTACATATATGCAGACTCCACCTCCACGTCCTGCATCACATCTGTAAATATGAAAGTTTGGAATGCTGATGAAACTGCTTGATATTTCTTGGTGAAGCCAAGTTTCACTAATGCACAGGATATCGATATTTCTCTCCTTAATTAATAATTCAATTTTTCAAAGTGTCCGAGGAGAGACTGTGCATTGATGTGCTCAATTCTGATTGTACTTAGTGTTTTGACCGCCGGACTTACAGCGTCAAACATCCTGCTCGTCTTTGTACTTGTTTCTATTTAGGAACACCTTTACATTATCTGGAAAGACGTCGGACTCTAAGAAAAGATCTGGGTTAATATCCTTGCCTCTTATAGTAACTGTGAAGCTTGAGTAATAATTGTGTGTCATTTTCGTTTTAAAAGCTTTCACATTGGAAATAATGTTGAATTTATTTTCAAGGAAGTCCTCAATATCTTCCTCGTTTGTGTCCGGATGGCAACTCGTGATATACAAGTACACTACCTGAGGACGGTCGGCACCTTGCAGGGGTTTTGACGAGTGGCGTTCCTCTCTTGCTTTTCTTCTTTGTTTTCTATTGTTGACTTGAACGAACCCTTCCTCGTCTTGGTGGGGCTGTGGCTGCACGTTTGTTTGTTGTTGTGTTTCCGTTCGTTGACGACGAGTTGTGGTGCTTGTGGGAGTAGTAGAGGGGGCAGGTACTCCAGGCACGTGGTGGTGCGTGGCATCCTCCCAGTGGCGATTTGGTGATTGTCTTTGCTTGTTTTTCCTTCTACTGTTTCTACCGTAGCTTCTTCTGGGTGTTACTTGTGTAGAAGCTTCGTTCCTCATGCCGGTTGTTGACGTCTCAGCGTTGTTGGGTGATCGCTTGCGTGGCACCGGACGAGGGGGGGGGGCTGCGCGTCAGCAGGTCACGGGTTCGCGGTCGGAGTGGGTGAGACGGAGGGGAGGGGGTGGAGGGAGGGGAGAGGAAGGAGGGGTGTTGGTCGTGGGTACTGCCGTGGGAGTTGTAGGGGTGTATGGTTGTGCGTGTGTTCATTTGGTGTTGAGGTTAAGGACATTCTGCAGGGAGGAGAGAGAGAGAAGAGAAAGAGAGAGAGGAGAGAGGAAGAGAGAAAGAGAAGAGAGAAGAGAGAAGAGAGGAGAGAGAGAGAGAGAGAGAGAGAGAGAGAGAGAGAGAGAGAGAGAGAGAGAGAGAGAGAGAGGGGGGGGGAGAGGGTTAGAGGGAGAGGGAGAGAGAGGGAGATGGAGAGGAGAGGAGAGGGAGAGAGAGAGAGGAGAGAGAGAGAGAGAGAGAGAGGGAGAGAAAGAGAAAAGAGAAAGAGAGAGAGAGAGAGAGAGAGAGAGAGGGAGGAGAGAGAGAGAGAGAGAGAGAGAGAGAGAGAGAGAGTGAGAGAGAAAAAAAATTGTTATACTTTGTGTGTGTGTGTTTCTATTTAAACCACACGCACATTCATATAAACTGTAATTTTAAATGTCATTCTGGTTAAGGAAAGTCTGAGGGGAAGTCACAGAACATGAGAGACAAACAACTACGGAATTATAAATTGTTCTTCGTATTCACTGAGTCCTGACAAGTGCTTCGTCATATTCATCAAAACCAAAGACTCTATACGAAAGATAGGAAAGCCTGGCACAAAGCCTGAAGCCTGTCCGTCCCACCGGTTGGATGGATAGTGATCTGAACAATAGATGGCGTTTTATGAAGATTTGGGCCTCACATCTTTTCAATCGATGTGATGCGTGCTTCCCTATCTTTATTATATAGTCTTTGCTCAAAATAGTTCACCCTCCGGCGCCTTCAGTTAGCACAAATCTACATAAATCGCTGGATCGAGACTGGCCAGGAGTTCCCCGTCGTAGCAAGAGGCGGCCGGCGAGGTGAGGGCCATGAAATAGCTGTTGGTGACGAGCCAGGCGAGGTCACAGCCGCAGCCGAGGGGGTTGTCTGGGGAAAGGGGGAGGGGGCAGGAGGTCATGGCTTTGGTGTGTTTGGATTATCGTTCTTGGTGTTTATCGTAATATCAGTATCGCTATTGCTAAAAGGTTGTCTCCGCCATGTTCTTAAGAATTGACGAATCTCATTTTATTGATACATTTTTAACATGATTGATCGTTGTACTGATAATTATGGAGAAGCAATCATTATTGTCTGTTTACGTCTTGATATTAACGACGAAATTACAAACCAAATAAAGTTGGATTATAGAAACAAACATAAAAGTGTATGTACTTGGTACCTTGCGTCCTACTTTTCCTTTTACCGTCTTTTAAAATCATTTTGAAAATATAATTTATTTATGAACTGATGCTAACTGCAATGGAAATGATACATGTTCACACATTCATAATCAATTTTGTTTACATTGCAGTTTTAATAACTTTAAAAATAACCCTTCGAGCATACGAACACAACCTATGCATATGCCTGGATACTCTCCCTTCCCAAAGCGCCATGGAACAATTGTGAAGGCCTTTCAGATCATGCTTAAACGTATGACTTTTAACATTCATATTCTTATTTTGAAAACCTATCTATATGCCATTACCAAATCAAAGTGATGCGAGACAGCTCCTTGACAGCGGAAGTGGCTAATATAGTGTAAGAAGCCATGTTTACAAAGAATATCAATGTGTACCGTAATTAGATAAATAAAGATCGTCGACTTTCAACCTAAAATTGTGCCATTAAAGAGGTTATTGATAGATCAGCTGACGCCGGAAGGTCGCGGATGTGTCGAAGATTTTAGAAAATGGTGACAAGAGTAATATATATTATACGAATTCATGTGAATGAAATAAAATTACATAAATGAAGTAAAAAGAGCGAAGAGACGAGGCTTGAAATAAACGACAGGGATGTATATTTAGATAAACAGGCACGCAAAGAAAGTGCCAGAATTAAACAAGACCGATGAAGCAACAGAGGTCCTGACTCCAAGCCTCAGACACCAAGAGGAAAACACCCACTTGGATAATCAATGTTTTCATTAGAATAACAACTTTCCCAACTGGCAATCTGAGAGAGAAAAATTATTGGCGAAGTAATATAAATCAGGGACGATATTCACAATTATTGATATATAACTTTTATATGAATCAGGGACGATATTCACAATTATTGATATATAACTTTTATATGAATCAGGGACGATATTCACAATTATTGATATATAACTTTTATATGAATCAGGGACGATATTCACAATTATTGATATATAACTTGAAAAGATTTGCGGGGTCTTAAAGCAAAGATTTCAGGCTCGTACGTCGCCATATGGTTGTGACTCTGAAAAGACTCTCTGCCATTTCGTCTAACTGTGAAATAGAACTAGTATTCACATCGCAACAACGAAATAGATGATGTAACGAATGGCATATGACTTACATTGCGCAATTAATATGTTATCCGCATGACAAGTAGCACGATTGTGTTGGTTGTGTGGGGTGTTAAGTCACACGAAATTCTCAGAAATATTTTAGCAAAACTGGGGAAAACAAACAAATTAAAATTAGCCCCGATGTTGTCCTTGTTATT